GACAGGATATATACCGTTGAGCTTGACATAAGATATACCACAGAGTCTGACATATCTGTTTCACATTTGCATTTTTTACTAGAAAAAGACATTAATTAACCACTTAGCTTCATGATAAACGTGATGACTTTAACTTTAAAATCGTAAACTTCCCTTACTTAACCAACCAGCAATATACATTCATTGCCTGTGAACGGAGTCTCTACCTCTTAGTTGATTCGATACACAAGCAAAGACACTACGTATGAACAATAACTAGAACAAGTTTTATTATTGACAATCAGCAAGTTGATAAAACAAACAAAACTATCAACAGTCTCCTTTGAAATCATCATTTTGTAAGTTCTATGGTCAAAGCATTGTCCTTGCTAGCAAATACAGTTTGTCATTGAGTCAAATGCTGACTAACATTTTTCATATTGAATATATTGTAGGCCTAAGTCCATTTTTTACACATCAAATTTACGACAGATTTTTCCGTTAATTCCTAATCATGACAAAGAGCATATGGCGGATGTCGGTCGGCAGGGGTTGGTCACTCCTCCATAGCACCAGGTGATCCCACCTCTGATGTTTTGGAGGTCCTTGTTTGCTCTGCTCCTAACTAGAAACATCGTGGGAATTGACGCTAATGGGAGCCTGACAACCTAATTATTATGATAATCGTGATGGCTTTGACTTTAATATCGTCAACTTACTTTCTTTTTAATAAAGCAACATATGTGTATTCTTAACACAATTTTATGGATTTTATGTTCACAGTTGATTCGATAAGAGCATGCTCTGAGTCCGAAAAACAAGATATTGAAACATTTAATATAATCACCATGCCTTTATTCAATTAATCTTTAGCCACTTCTATGGTTGAAACAAAGTTTTCATCAGCGGATACAATCTTTCATGCAATCGTTCATGGCATGCTGACTGAATTTTTTCATACCTTTAGGCTATTATTTACACACTGAAGTGTCATAAGACTTATTTATTTACATTTGGAAAGCGAACACTCGGTTTGTGTTACCGGTCGACGAGGCATACTTAACCCTCAATGACACCTGATCCCACCTCTGACATGTCTGTGTTTGTTTCGCTTTTGATTTGTTTTGTTTCACTTTCACTGGACATTGGGACTTGGTAACAGTTTCTTATCTTCATATTTTGCTTGCTACGAGTATATAGTATCAACCTAAAAAGTTTTTATGTGTTGTAGAAGTGTTAATTAAAATGAAGAATTCCATTGGGTTCATCCTTCTGATTATCACTAATAAATCATAACATTCATTGGGGAGTTTGTTTCCTTATGATTTCATAATGCAGTATTTACATGCATGCTTATGCTGGATTGCAATTTGACATAAAATTCTCTGACATTTCCAATGTGACCTATTAATTTTGTTCAGACATAATTTGAGAAGCATATTTCCATGATTTCATTACCTTGACATCGTTATGCAATGGGTTTTCTGGGAAAAGGCTAAATATCATATAAGTAAATTACAGAAACATCACTAGATGTCCTGTTATTGGTAATAATGAAGTAATTCTGCCTGACTAAATGACCATACCGTTTGCAATCGTTACATCATGTATTTAGATAAATGTCAAAATGATTTTGAGTAAAATTTTATTAACTTTTTACAGCGACTGCAGATACCCTTTGTCCTTTAATTATAAAATATTGGACTATGCCCATGCTCTGGATTTGATAAAATATATTGAGCCCAGTGTTCTGACCAATATTGGTCAGCATTTGAAATGATAAATTTTCGAGGGAAAAAAAAACAATAAACACACAAATCATTTTTTTCTTTAACCAAATAAAGGTCTTCACTTGTAAGGATCACTACAGCCACAGTAAAGCCCCATACAATGGTACGTGGTGTAGGGATAGACAAAGCATTGGTATCGACAGCTCTTGTTACTCTCGTATATACACACTGAAATATACAACATTGTATTAATCGTTACTCCAGTACATGTACACACTGAAATACAACACTGTAAACATTGTCACTCCCTGATGTATAAACACACCGAAATACTGTGGACGTACTTTTTTCCCCGGAGTCATAATTCCGCGGAATCTTAATTATGTTCCCCAAACGGAGTTTGGGAACATATTGTTTTTACTCGGTTTCTTATTATTATTAGGGTCAAACGGAGTTTCAGGGAACATATTGTTTTACTCGGTTTCTTATTATTATTATTATTATTATTATTATTCTTTTTTTTCTTCTTTGTTCTCCGGTACTTTTTTGTCCGCGAGTGTTCTTCAGAAACTGTTCACCCAATTTTTTTAAAACCTTTTTAGGGTTAATAGGTGTGTAGTGTAGGTGTGCAACACGAAGGTTATTTTGCGCGCATACGCATGCACGTGCGTGCGCGTGAAATGAGTGAATTGACTGATATACTTAATATAGCTATTACATTTACATTTTTTGATGAAATGATTTGAAACTCATTATATAAAGATATATTAATACTGTAGATAATGTGACCCTGTCAAATTAGCACGAACTCACGCGCATGCACGTGCGCTTCGCTCTGATTGGCTGAAACAAAAAGCTCAATATCTCTTCTGTTTTTTGACGAAATGCTATGAAATTTAAAACATAGGCATACTTTAGGATGTACTACAATATGATATATAACAATTGTCATGTAAGCACGCGCATGCACGTGCACTGCAATCTGATTGGCTTAAACTTTAAGTGGCTATAACTCCTTTGTTTTTCAACCAAACAGTATGGGATTTAAAACTTAGACAGACATAATGGACTCCTACAAGGCGGTGAAGTCGTCATGCACATGCATGCACATGCGTGCACTTGTGCTTTGCTGTGATTGGCTGAAACAAAAATCGCAATATCTACAACTATATTTTTTAATTTTTGACGAAATGCTTTGAAATTTTAACATTTGATGCATTAGGACTTTATGATATATAACAGTTGTCGTGAAAACATGCGCATGCACGTGCGCTGCAATCTTTCATTGGCTTAAACTTTAAATGGCTATTACTCCCTTGTTTTTCAACCAAACAGGATAATTTAGAACATTGACAGTCATTATAGACTTTAACAAGATGGTATGGTCGTCATGCACGTGCGTGCACTTTTTTCACTCTGATTGGCTGAAACAAAAATCTCAATATCTTTTCCGTTCTTTGACGAAATGCTACGAAATTTAAAACATAAGCATACAATAGGATGTCCTACAATATGATATATAACAATTGTCATTAAATCACATGCACGTGCCCTGAAGGATCTGATTGGCTTAAACTTTAAATGGTTAAAAACTTTCTTGGTTTTCAACATGGTTTAAAATATATAGACTTTAATGGATACAAGAAGGTATGGTCATCATTAGCACATGCTTTCAACGATGAAATGAGTAATTTAAAAATATGCTTATCTCAATAAATATATATTATAATACTTCTGGGCATTGATATTAAGTCTATTTGAATATATATACATAGTGTAGAAAAGATGAAAATATGATCATTACCCACATGCATTCACATGAGCTCGCATTTTTTGCTAATGCTAAAATTTAAATATATTTCATAGCTCAAAACATTGTTTAAGTCTAAATTGCACAAAGTATGTCTTATTTGATAGAGTTTAAGGAAATATGTTCACCAAAAGGGAGTTTTAAGGGAGCGTTTTGTGGTAAATCATTGTTTCCCCGTTACAATTAGCCCTAGTTATTATTATTATTATTATTCTTCTTTTTTTTCTTCTTTGTTCTCCGGTACTTTTTTGTCCGCGAGTGTTCTCAGAAACTGTTCACCCAACTAAGTTAAAACCTTTTTAGGGTTAATAGGTGTCAAGTGTAGATGTGCACAACGAAGGTCATTTTGCGTGCATACGCATGCACGTGCGTGCGCGTGAAATGAGTGAAATGACTGATATACTTATTATAGCCATAACTTTTACATTTTTTATTGAAATGCTTTGAAACTCATTCTATAAGGATATATTAATAGTCTAGATAATATGACATGGTCAAATTAGCATGAACTCACGTGCATGCACGTGCGCTTCCCTCTGATTGGCTGAAACAAAGATTTCAATATCTCTTTTGTTTTTTGACGAAATGCTTTGAAATTTTAAACATAGTCATGCATTAGGATATACTACAATATACTATATAGCAGGTATCATAAAAACACGCGCATGCACGTGCGCTGCAATCTGATTGGCTTAAACTTTAAATGGGTATAACTCCTTTAATTTTCAACCAAACAGGATGGGATTTAGAACATAGATAGACATAGTGGATTCCTACAAAAAGGTAAGGTCATCATGCACATGAGATGGATAAAATCAAAAATACACTTGAAGCGTATTTTTTAATACTTTTGGATTAAATGCTTTATTATTTTATAATATTGTAGACAAGAGAATATGGTCATTACGCACATGCATTTACATATGCACGCGTGGAAATGCTAAAATTTGAATATACTCGGTATACTTCAGGGAAACGTTGTTAAAGTGTAAAATGCATAGAGTTTGTCGTTTTTAATGAAGCTTAAAGGGAGTATGGCACCAAAAGGGAGTTGGGGAGCGTTTGGGGAACATCTGTAACGGTTCCCGTTACAATTAGCCCTAGTTTCTGTTGAATCCGCGTGTAGAAAATTACGCAGATTTCCTAGAATGTCACTATATGCCTTACATTTTTATTAAGTACGCTTGGACAAATTTGCGCAGAAAAACTGTTACCGAGTACATTGCATAAATTAATACCACGCGGAAAAAGGTACTTCTTCTGTACAACTTTGTACAAATCGTTACTCCTATATATTTACATTTCCAATAAATCTGATTTAAATCAGATCCTTTGATCCGTTCACATAAAGATCGCTACAATTTTTAATCAATATCCTTAGTTATTAAAAATGAATTATAAAAAAAATTATACTACTTTGACAAATTAAAAGTAATCTGTATGACAATAAGAGATAAAAATATAGGGGTTATTACAATTTAATTTGACTTGAATATAATGTTATGGTATTTGAGTATTTTTGAGTGATATACTTAGCCAACAAATATTCTTACTGTAATCCGTCATGCAGTAACAGGATCCCTTTAAACATGTCAGTTTCCATTGATGCAAAGGACAGGGGCTGCAGTCAGAGGCTTTATCACATTTCTCTCCATTTGCTATAATTAAACAAAACAAGCAAATTAAAATTTAACCAAAGAATTAAGAAAATCCTCATTAAATTCATGCAGTTTTTTTTTCATATAATCGTTCAATTTTTCAAGATTATACCATAAAAATGTTGTTTTGTTTAAAGAATAATGATATTAACAGATGGTTCCTTGGTTCGTTTTCGAAAGACACTAGTGTACAAATAATTTTTCCAGATATTTAGTTGACAAGTTATGGGTGAGTCTTGCAATAATCTTTATCATTGATTACATAAACAAAACTATGTTTTTCAGCTTTAAAGTAAAAAGTGGCCAAATTGGTTGTAGGCATTTTTTGATAAAAGTTTTTACTCACTCTTGACTGTAAAAAGGATCAAAATGATTACTATGAGCTTTCCCGGATTCACTAACATTTCTCTTCTAACTACACCAGCACGATGAACTGAATTACTGTTAGAACGTCACCTAATCATAAAGAGGCGTTTCTATGCTAATGAATTATATGAATTGTTTGACATTCCTTAAAGTAGGATACTTCGCTGGTTTCTGACTAGATGGGATATTCAAAGTACATTTGTTGATATATTTATATATTTAGATATAAGATATTTACAAGACCATATTTTTCTTTCCTTATCACAATTATACAACTTTAAATAGAAATAGTAAACTGCGTTTGAAAACTAGCAGGGACTATATTTTTGGCGGAATGGCGGCATATGAAAAAAATATCTTCTTTTCTGCTTCTCAAAATTATTATAAAACATTGAATTAAGTTATAATTTTTACGCAATCAAAGACTAGACGACATTTTCAAAATGTAAGTTAATTCAATGATGAGGGACTAAAGTTTCAAAATATATCAAACAAACAAGATTTTTCATACATACTCAAACTATGTTGGCCTTAAAATGCTTCAAATCTAAGTACAGATTTGAACCAAAAACCCGTAAAAAGTGTTATTTATCTCTTAATAAACGATCAGAACTTTTAGTTTTTGTGTCAATTTGTACCTTAATATGACAACTTTACTATATGTAAAATAATTGAAAAAGTTAAATATAGGAAGCGTATAAAAATAAATAATAAATCCTAAAAAAAGAAAAGTTGAGGAAATTCGGATTAGCAAATATCCATTTTATCTAAATTATCCATGTCAATTTGGTAATATAATCTTATAGGCCCTATATGGCAGTACATGTATCTTTTTATGCAAAAAGAAAAACATCAAATCTTTCGAATTACAAGTAGGGATCACATGATTGGAAACAGTTATTTTTTTATTCTTAATGTCCATGGAAAAAGCAATGACCTTGACCTGACCTTGGAACTAATATTCAACGGTCAAATTTGACTGGTTTGTTTGCGTTCTGTGAGAGATTAAAGTCTGTATTTTATTTAATGTTAACAGACACTTGAGAAGCAGAAAAAGAGACCATTACGTTATATGAGACGTAAATTACGCTTGCTTTCGTGTGCCGATGTACACTTACATGCTTTCTTTATTTTTTTATAATTTTCTTATTAAATGTGATATCATCATGAAATTTGAAAAGTATGACTATGAAAATAATTAAATGTTACTAATTGCTATGACAAGAAAAGAAATTTAATTTTGCAAAGAGAAACTAAATTGTATTCTCTGTCTAAGACTTTTTGGGACAACCCTCGTATATTGTCCGAATACTCAGTATATGGAGATATAATCTTCATATTATAATCTCAATTATGAAATAGTGGATTTTTTTTCTTACCTAGACCCGTCCTATAATTAAGATTTATCCCCCATTGCTTTTAATAAATTAAATTCATTTTAAAATTAAAAAAATATAATTTGTTTTAATCGTTATCCTATTCTTAATAATTATATACATCTTTCCACCATAGCATTTTTAATATTCATAATATTTAAATTTTTTTGTTTAAAAAATTTCTTGTTCCCGTAAACCTCAATGCATTCTTAATTAATTGGTAACTCTTCGGGTAATAATACATGTATTTTTGAAAATTTCTCCAGGTAAATCATTTTGTACTCTAAACTTCTTTGAATAAATTTCAGAGTATTTAATGCAGGATGGATATTTAAGGTTAGAAAAATATATCCTTTGATGGAATTGAACTAGGATGTATTTTCCACAGTTATTTGAAAATGATAACTGCACAAATATTTCAAATGAAATCCTTTAATGAAGTTCTGTTACTAGAAAAAGAAAATGCAGTGTATGAAGACAAAGAAGGCTAACTCTAATGTAAGAAATATCACCACTTTAGTCAAAAATGTTACAATTTGATCTTTCCTATTCTCTACCATCAGTCCTTTGAATACCAATTGAAAGGCCTAAAGAGGTAACCGCAGGTTAGAGCAATTCATTCACCTCTCAGTCATTGTTCATTTAAATGAATGAGAGAATCTATCTCGTCTCGCGTGAATTAAAGCATGAATTTTACTATACTGTATCAGTAGGCTTTCAGCGTATCAATAATATACATTATTTATACCCTATATCCATATATGCAGTAATAAAGTTTCCCTGAAAAGTAGTTCCAGTGATCTTTAGGCAGTTCAACTCTCCCGTAAAACCATAACTTTTGCAAAAACTGTTAATATTTATAAATTAATTTCACATCTTCTGAAAGAAATGCTTTTAATCTGTGTTTTAAGTTTATTATTAAAGAAAAGAATCTTTTTTCCGTCATTTCTCAATCATGACAGGGAGCATACGACGGAAGTGACCGGTCGGCAGGGGATGCTCACTCCTGTATGGCGCCTGATCTAAGATGTTTGTGGTCCATGTTTGTTCTGCTCCTATTTTGTATTGTTTTATGGACTTTTGATATTGAATACTGTTCGTTTTATCAATATGTTCATTAAAATGTATGTTTTCTTTATTTAATACCGGTAAATTATTCAATCTTTAAAAATGCTGCTATAATAAGGAACAATAACCACCTCAAAGGTATCTTCTCTCTAGTATTTTCCCTATTGTAGTTCTTACATGTCTAAATAATCATCACAACTCAAATTAACATATCTATAAAATACGAAGTAAATAAATAAGGCCTTTTTTCCCCTTGTATTTGAACTAGTTTATAGCTTATATATTATTATCAATTTTAAAATAGGCATAATTTCTCATTTGTAAAATAAAACTCTGTTTTGTTGTTTTCAATCTTAAAAATAAGCCAAATCTATATTTTTTTGACATTATTATTAGAAAATTCTAACTTTATTTAAAGAAAATAAATCCAGCTTTTACTTCGAATAATTGAAATTGTAATGGTTGAAATACCTTTAAGGTATACATTAAACAAAGAAATTAAGAATTTTGCATAGATAAGTGCTTGGATACTGTAAATCACTTTTTATTCGCGAGAACTTTATTTTCGCGTAATTACGCGAGAAATAAGACGCTCGCGAAAATTTCATTCTCGCGTATAATAGAATTCCTTAAGATTATATAGAGCAGTGACCGCAATTCGTGAAAATTTTGTCTCGCTAATAAGGAGTCAATGGCTATCTCGCGAAAATAAATGTGTCGCAAAAATTAAGTGATCTACAGTAGTTAAGGTCTAGCCTTTTCACAACAGGAAAATTTTATATGCATGCCCATTAAAAAGTGTGTATTGCACACCCCCTACACGCTATATAGCTAAAAAAAAATATAGAGTAGAAGATTTTGAATTCAGCATTAATGTATAAAAGGTTTTATTGTTTTATGCTGCGCACGAGTATTTATATCCAAAAATATTGCATAAAAAAGTGATTTTTCCGGGATTTTTTTTTCTTACTCAAAATTTTCTTATGTATTTACTCAGTTGAGGAAGAGAGGGGGAGGGAAAAGAGAGATAATACTGCAGAAAAAGAGAACTGGTGATTGCTATGCTATCAAAATCATCCTGTTTAAATATTGGCATAGTTACCTTTCATTAAATAGTAGTCCATTGTATTATCGTGTATAATCAAGTTTTGTAATTGACAAAATTTCCTACCTGGTACTTTTTTCCTGTAATAATGAGTAGTATGTTGCAACTGATCTGCATTTCGCAAAGATTAATCTGGATTGCCAAATCAGGTATTGAGTATCTTTTTACATGCTTCAGGTGTGTCTTACTTAGACCTTTCAGTTAAAAATGATTATACATTAAGATGTCTTATCTTGAAATTGATTGAAGTTTTTCAAATCCGGATTGCAGATTGTGGCTACATCATTATCAAAACAAATCACACTTTAATAGAAATATGCACCATGGCACCTGATCCCATCTCTGATGTTTTGGAGGTCCTTGTTTGCTCTGCTACTATTTTGTATTGTTTTATGAACTTTTGACTACTACTTGTATACTAGTCGTTATTTCCATATGTTTCATGCAAAGTATATGCAGAAGCTCAATTAATGAAAAAGAACTGTGTCAATCTAATAATTCTTCGTCTCTCAAGATATCAATGATAGTAATATTGACAGTTACCCTAAGGTATCGTTTTTTCAATCAGTGTGATAGCACTCATCAATATTATAGGAAACCCAGTATCAATTTGTAATTGAAGTCCTGTTCTAGAAGTATTTACGAGAGGTTCTTAGATTGAGTCGATAATTTAAGTTTATTACGATGATAATTTTTCAAATAATTATTAAATGAAAATGACATAATATGATCACTCGGTGCTCTCGTGTACCGTTTCATGATGTCCAACAACGCCATTGTTTTTCTTTGTCCGCTCCCTCTACCTAATACATGTACACTGTCATACACATTTCTAGATAAGATTCTGAAGATAGAGTGCAGTAAGGACCCAAATCTATTTTGTTGTCATTGCTTTACAATTTCTTTGTATGCTTTGTATGCATATACCATTACAAATGCGTTTATACATAAAGAAAAAATAAACTTTTTTCACATAGATGTAAATATGAGCAATAAAATGTCTTTCTGTGTTTGATAGTACGGGAATTAATGCCGCAGATTTTCAAAAAAAATACAGAGATAGAGAGGAAAGAGAGAGCTATGGAGATAACATATTCAAGCTCAAAAAGTGCAAACATTCAACTCCTCCATGGAAGAGTGAGCATGCGAACCAGTCGCATACGCTGTGTGCTTCTTGTCATGAATGGAAAATAAAGGAAAAGTTCGTCGTCAATGCAGTGTGTTAATATTGAACTAGAATTAAAAACGGCAGTATAGACAGCTTTTGACTCAATGATAAATTAAATTTGATGACAAAATGATGACTTTAAATGAGCCTGCTGATAATTTACCTCGTTTTAGAAAATTTACATACGCAGCACACGTTCTTCAGAAATCAGTTAAGAGATATAAACTCCGTATGCAAGTGATAAAGGTATATTACTGCATAAGTAAGTGAACTTGTCAATTGAACGTTAAAACCTCATCACATCATAGAACTTTGATGATAGATTACCTTTAACGTCTTTTCAAACAAACTATC